ACACTGATATATTATCACAGTATAAAGTTGTTGTTGTGAACGTGTTAGCAAACATTTGCCTATTTACACATCCACCGCTTAACACTTAGCAATATTAGCACTGAGTCCTTTGTCGTTGATACCTTTGTGTCCGTCTTGGTCGATGTAGATACCTACGATCATGAGCCACTAGGTGTTGGTGCTGGGCAAGTAGTGGAAAGTAGAGTTATCAGAGCTTTTTGATGAAAATGACTGCCTGTTTTCAGAGTTTATGGACTGTAAACCCAAAACAATGAGCTAAAGGAGGCTAAAAAACTCCATGGAGCTTCTGGAGATAATTCTCTATGGGTTCATCATACATTGGATCCATCAGAATATATATATATATAAGTGCAGCTTTAATTAGTTTTTCTAGACCTTTTCATAGTGTTCCTGTTGTTTTTTATTGTCCTGATTATATCCCCTCTCTTTATAAGTGAACATGTGTTTTCCCTATGCTGTAAATGTGGCTTTTTAAACAATGTTGCTCTATTTTCTGTCTTCAGTGAAAGAGACTGACACACACAAGCTGTGGAGGAACATCGAGCCTCATTTAAAAAAAGCCATGCAGACCGTTTACCTGCGAGAAGTGTCCAGGTCTGTGTTCTTTACATCAGTCTGCTCATGAATTCTGCTTGTTTGTTGTGTGTCCCTGTCCTCATTGTGTGTCTTCTCTTTTCTCTCTTCAGTCTTCAGTGGGAGCAGATGCAGCAAATGGAGGAGAAGGAGTCTGGAGCCTTGAGAGGTACACACTGAGTGCAGTTGCACTCAATGACGTAACATGATTGCAGAGCAGATGTTAGACTGTAAAACCACTGATAGGATGCAGTGACACTGTGGATTCATGCAGAAATTGGGATATTTCTAGTAAATAACGTGTATCAGCATATCAGTACACCGAACATCACGCATGAATGATGCATTGTTTGAAAGGATATGAGGCTGTACGGGCACATTTTTCATTCTTAAGTATATCTGACTGGTTGCATTTATGTCCCCTAAAGGTTTATCTGCTCACACTCATGTTGAACTGCCTTATTACTCCAAGTACCTGCTGATTGCTGCCTACCTGGCATCCTACAACCCTGCTCGCACAGATAAACGCTTCTTCCTAAAGGTAGACAGATTTAACTTTACACCAAGGAATCTCCTGTGGAAATTATGCTTCTGTAGGTTTTTTTTTTATCCCATTTTAGGGTTTTACGGTGGTTATATGTTGTACATATTGTAAAGCCCTTTGAGGCACATTAGTAATGTGTGATTCCTGCAGATTAAATGTTTGATGTGTCCCTCTGTTTCCTCCCTACAGCACCACGGTAAAATAAAAAAAACAAACTTCTTGAAGAAAAATGAAAAGGTGAACATCTCAACACAACACTGGCTTTGAGCTCCATTAGTTTTAAACACGTTTTTATATGGTAGCAATATGTTATGTCTCTTTTCTAGACGAGTAACCACCTTCTGGGACCAAAGCCCTTCCCTCTCGACCGCCTGCTCGCCATTTTCTACAGTGTGGTGGACAACAGAGTTGCCCCCACTGCCAGCATTTTCTCCCAGGTCAGTGTCCAGTTTATTTCACTAAACATTCAGGAAACAATGAACAGATGTACATTCACTCTGAATAGAAAACTGGAAGAGGCTCCTTAGATGAAACAGAAGTTGGAGTAGATCTGGGAGTCATCCACATAAAAATGTACTGAGCCTTGAGCCACTCCACAGGGGAAATGGAAGGTGGAGGATTTAAAGTCGCCAATGGCCACACGGACTTTCCTATTAGAAAGATGGGAAAAAAAACTCCGCCTAATATTCCAGCTCAGTGCTTAAGGCGTTGAATTAATGGGTCAAAGCTGCAGTAAGATCTAAAAGCTTTAAAACAGACTGACCACTCACAGCTGCTAAAAGAATAACATAAGCAGTGCGATGACCCTCCTGTTGATGGTGACGATTGTCTGACTTGTAAAATAGAAGACAAATAAAGATGGATGTGTCAGTCAGCAGAACACTAAAACTATCCATCCAAAACAAAAGTAGTTTAATTAACCTCCTTAACCATCTGTATACATGAATTTCCCTTTTCAGTACGACCGTTTTTAGTGTTAGTTAGATTGATCTCTAGTGGTTTCATTTTGCCCTTCATTTAATCCTGCAGTGCTTGTAATCTCTCTCCATGATTGTAACTCCCAAAGTTAACTGTAGGGAGACTCGTGGGTCTGTAAAGCGGCTCCTACAGAATGTAGAAAATAATTTCATTTCACGCTTTTCTAACATTTGCCAGATAAGCGAATGTACACTATAATAATAATTTTGAATACTCATTTTTCTCATTTCTAAGTGCAGATGACTTTATGTTAAATCAAGTTGGCCACAGTCTCTCAGATGAGAGTTTTCTACTCATATGGTCGAGAGGTTCAGGATCTGTGGCCAAATGCTGATCTATTTATGGCCCTGAGCATAAATTGGTTTTAGGAAATTAGCCTCGATCCATATCTGTGCAACTGGCTGTCATCATTTAGCGCCTCTGTAAGTGTGGAAAAGCTGTGTTTAAAAAGCAGAACAGGGAGTCATTTCAGTTTCCCCTCTTGTCTCTGTTTAGATCTCCTCTCTGGTGACCTTACAGCTGTTGACTCAGGTCAGTCATGACGACCAGCTCGATGCCCCGAAGTACAAATGTGCCGTGTCCATGGACTTCATCTGTGCCATATCCAGGTGTGTGTGCATGTCCGTTAATACACAACTGAGACTGACAGCAGAATTATTAAAGGGGATTAACCTTTAACTGTTGGTTTTTAATGTGTTTGGTGTGATTTGTCTTCCAGGACTGTGAATTTCGATATTGTCAAGTACCTGTATGACTTCCTGTGAGCCTGAATAAAGGAGAGATGACACACAGACAGTAAGACGAATGGAGGATTTATACACTTCAGGACTTGGCAAAATAAGGAGCTCAATGTATTGTTGAGAATTTTGAGGAGGAAAATTAATCCAATTATGTTGCTGCCCCCTTGTGGTTGATGTGTTCATATTTTTCTTGTAAAGTCTCTAAACTATGTTAAATGTTTGCATTTGTATAAAATAAAAGCCATATTGGCAGTTAAACTTTATATGCGTTTTATTTAGTTAAAAGCTTATGTTAAGTTTGTGATGTATTTAAATGAAATACACTGTTTTACTTGATTTATTTTTTATTAAAAATACAAAGAGAATAAGTATATAATATATCCTGCTTTAAACAATGAGAAAAAAGATGACTACGATGCAGGTTTAGCATTTTGTGCCTGACATAGAGCGACCTTGGCACCATGCAGGTGAATCATCTTGCTCAAAGGGAGGATTTTGTTTCCATAATGTGTCACCTTTTTTTTTTATCCTGTTGTAGTTGTATACTGAAGTCAGGATACTGATTTTGAAATGGAGAAAACTCATCGTCTATGCAGAGTTATTGTCTAAAAACAAAAGTTCTGCTCCCTTAATTGGGCCCATCCTCCTTTTTAACCTTTTTAAAGTAAACTGCAGTAGTGGTTCACAACATTTTGGACTTGTGAACTCCTAAAACCTACTTGTGAATCCCTGTAATTGTTTGCACATGTTTTTTCCCTTGTTGAAATAATATTTAAGGGGCCCTAAAATTATTTAGAAAGCAAAGATTAGAGGAAACAATTTGTGTAGCAGAAATATTATTTCCTATCATGTTAATCATGTGACCCCTAATATTGAAGATCAGGTTGTGAACCACCAAGCTAATTGGTAACACTTCACTTTAACCCACACTATTTAGCATTTATAAGCATTATATAAACATTAATGCATGGTTTATAACACATTATAATGTAGTTAACGAGTGTAACTTTAGGTAATGAATGACAATATAGTAAAACGTTATAATACTGTACATTAATAAACTATTAAAATCTCATGTTTGCATACAACAATGTGATAATGTGTTATAAACCATTTATTCGATGTTTATACTGTTTATAAAGTCCTTAATTAGTCCTAAATTATTACATTCACCTTTAATTTATGGATCCCAGGCTAATGCAGATATAAAATGTATGTCTTAAAACGTCTTAAGGTACAGAGGCGTGCACTCGACTGAAGCTGATAATTTGTTGTGTACAAGCTGCAACACCTGCAACACACTTATGCACATTCAATAGAGACCTTACACAGTCGACTTTCAGTAGGTTTTTATTGTACAAATAAGTAACAACAGAGGTGATCTATATCTGTATGTATGCTGAACAGGCAGCGAAACATACAGCCAAAGAAACACCCACACACCAATATGTTACAAAACCCCAAGCCAGTAATTTTTCGCCTTTTGCTTCAACTTGAATCCTTTTTAAAAGTTTAAAAAAAGGTGAAAAATATAAAAATAAAAGGTAAACATTTGTATCTGCACACACTGCTTAATTTCTTCAAATCTCTTCCTGTGTTACAGCCTTTGACTTGACATTAGCGTGGATGTTAGGATGTTAAGCACACTGCGGAGTCATAGTTTTCCTCCTGTTTACCCACAGGCAAGAACGGGTAAACACAGAGATGAGTAATTTGATGCAGAGGAGTTCAGACTGAGGGGAAAAAAAAGATTTGGAAAGCATTGAGTGCGTATAATTGCCACTCTACTCCACTATCTCCCTCTTTTATCCCCCGAGGTATCAGTGGGTAAGTGGACCGTCTGAGAGATCATCCCTCATGCCAAGGTGGCCTTGGGAGAGCTCAGCGTCATTAAACAAGGACAATGACCAGTTTGCAAAGGTTGACTGAGTCATCCAAATGCATTTAAAGTGCATGTGTGTCACTCTTTTAGAGAATCAAAAAAGAAAAAGATGTCAGTGTTTGCAGTACACTGGCATTATATTAAACTGGATTCAATCTTAATAGAAATCTCAGTCTATAAATGACTTTTTTACCAGAGGCGATGTACTGAAGCTCTCGGGTTAAATCATGAATGAGGATGAGGTAGTCGGACTGGGCAGATCCTAAACGCTGTGCCTCCTGTTGTGGATCATGGCCACAATGTGGGTGAGGTCCAGACTCTTTATCATCACCTCCATGAAATCCTCGTCACTGCGAGCGCCAGCCACAAACTCCTCCAAGGAAAGCTCACCTGTTGGGAGGCAAAAGATTATATTTAAAGACATAAAAGGTTGTTTTTTGTCCTATTAGAGTTCCAAATGAAGTTAGCATTTCACTTTTACATGTAACATTATCAGACTCATGGTGGGTAGTGAAATGAAAAAGCTAATTTAAGATTGTTAATTTATGTCTTGTTATACACTAAATATGTGTCAAATCATTTGATAGTTTGTGGCGTTTCCAGTCCCATATGTAACATTTAGGAGAATCTATTAACAGAAATAGAATATAATATTAACAGGTATGTTTTTATTAGTGTATAATGAATCGTTGTGTTTTTGTTACCTTAGTATGAGCCACTTTTATCTACAGAGGAAGTGGGTCCTCTCTAATGGATGCTTAGAAAGCTGAGCTGTATTCAAATGGTCGCAACGTGCAACTTCACCACTAGATGCCTCTGAATGCTATACATGTGCAGGTGCAAAAGTTGAAGAAGCATCCTTTGTGAAAGGTTTAAGGATTCTTATTGTGTTCAACCGTCACCTAAAGTATATCTTCCTGTTATGCTTGTTGCGTTTCCTGACTGAAGAAAGCACAGGAGCTGATGAATGTCTAAACACTGTCCGCCCACAGTCGATTTCTTCCTAAAAACCTCTGCATACAGTGCCAGAAAACACTCACCGTCTCCATTTATATCAATCCTGTCGAACACGCGGTTAGTGAAATCCTCAGCACTGACGTCCTGATTTTCATTCCCATTGATTGCTCGGATGGCCTGCAGGAACAGAATAAAATCAGTGTGTCACGTCGAGGCCAGGACCTGCTGGGAAACCCAGTGCAGCAGGAGAATGATAGACTGTTACCTTTATGATGTTGAGGAGCTCGTGTCGGTCAATGCAGCCGTTGCCATCCACATCATAAAGCTTGAAATACCAGCGCAGCTTGTGCTCCATCTTTCCTCGCATCACCAGACTGAGAGCGGCCACATACTCCATGAAGTCTATGTAGCCGTCCTGCAAAAGAAACAAGCCCAGGGAGATGAGACCACTCACACAGGAGATCCCTTTTCAAAACAGTGTCAGACATCAGTAAATGATTATGCATGACCATCTCCTTATTATGGAGCTATTTTTCAGCCATTCACAGTGATGAGATGCCCCTCATCTCAACTCCAAAAGCTATCTGTGTGAAATGAAGCGTGTCGGAGATGGAGGATTATCTCCGGGGACTGTCTGACCACAGGCAACAATCTTAGCATCAAAGCATTGTCTCGCAGATAATCTCACAGTTTTGCATAAAGATTACCATGGTCCCTTTTATGAGACGATGGCGACAGGGAGACTAAATATAGACGTTCAGCTTCTCAGACAGAAACATCCTGAGATGATCCTGTCGCTCGCTCAGAGACGATTAATCTGTGGGGGTCAAAATGTTTTGCCGGGAGGTCACGGGCATGTACGTTGGAGAGAACATGTGTCCCAGACTGTCATTTTATGCGTCTCTACTCCCTAAAAAACACTTAAAAAGTCAAGCAGCAGACCATCTTACTTGACAGTTTTTATTGCTTTTAGAGCTGAAACAATTAATGGATTAATTAACCGAGATTCACTATCAAGGTTGTGTTATAAATTAATCGTTTAAGTCATTTTTCAAGCAAAAGGCTTTAACATTAGCTCAAATGTGAGGATTTTAAATCCTGTAGTTTATCAAAGATATCAAAGAAGTTGAGTTTTAGATTCAAATTAAGATGTCATAGATGTCAAAAGTAAATCATTAATCAATTATTCATAATAGTAATAGATTGTGAATATAATTATTAGTTGCAACCCTAATCTGTTTACCAAAATATTGTCTCCTAACGGGTTGCATGTTACTTTTTGTATTCTTTAGATGAATAGGCAATAATCCGCTGATAGACAGAAAATTTATCAGCAATTTTTGATAACCAATTCATCATTTGAGTGCATTTATTAAGCAAAAAATAGTTGTTTGGGGGTTTATATCATTGTAAATGAAATGTATTTGCATTTTATACAGAAAACAAGGTAATGTGAAGATGCCACTTTGGACATCTTTCACTATTTTATAGCTTCAGTGATTATTTGTCAAAGAAAATAATTGATCAATAATAATCATTGGCAGCCCTGTTTGTAAATATAATTGTAAACAACAAAATCTGTAAATCACTGAACTGACAAATATAATAAAAACTAACCCTTCAAAACACTTGTGGATACTTTTTAATTGTGTTTGATCCCAATAAAAGTGTTTTTATAGAACTTTTATGACCAGAGTTAGGTAAAGAATAGAAATAAACATCTGAAATCAGTTCTGGGAAACTCTCTTTACTTTAATATTAAAGGGTAACGTAAACATTGTAATGATTAAAGGTTTATACTTCAAGGGAAAGCAGCCAGAAAAGTTAAAATATGGGCATATTGCTGTCAAATGGATTCACCTGATGTACAATATTTCTGTTATATAAAGAATTAATTACAATTTGTGAACCCAGAAAAAAAAACATTTCTAATTATGTAAATTTTATCCTTCAGACAAAACATTTAAATAAGCCCTCCAGTGTATCTATTTATACCTTTATGTTCATATTAAGTTGATTTTTTTTATCTTTAAAAGTTAATTAAAAGAGATGAAGCAAAAACATGACACAAACTAAACAATCCCACAGGAAACATCCCACCCTGCCAGCTCTTAAAAGTTCCTTTTTTTACAATTAAAGTGTAAGCCCTCTTTAATTTAATGTACGTTTTTTAAAATGCAGCGTCTTACCTTGTTCATGTCAAACGTGCGGAACATCTGCTCTATGTAGGCGTTGGCCTCGGGGTCCAGCCCTCGCAGGCCGAAGAACTGCTTGAACTCGTGCAGGGTGAGCTGACCTGAGGGGCACTCGGTCATGAACTTCTTGTACCAGAGGTGCATCTCCACTGCCTGCAGGTCATCCACGGTGCTTCCTGTTGAGTTACCCATTTCTTTCTTACACCGAGTGTGTGTAGGTAAGAAATCTGGAGCCTTTTTGTAGCAGCTGGTGCACAAACCTCTCAGCCCAATTTGGTCTACTGTGAAGCGGAGGTTATCCCTCTTCACAGTCACACAACAATGGGACTTAGGGTGAGAGTAGCGGCTGGTGGGGGCCTTTTGTAGCCGTCTGAGTTTAGGGATGTCCCTTCTGTGTTCTCCTTGGGTTTAATCACCGGCTGTAATCCACGCAAACATGCTGATGATCAACTTAATCGGCCCCATTAAAAGGACAGGCTGACTGTTTCATCTCTGTCCACGTTTACCCTGAGAACTGCTGACAAACACAACGCAGCTTTCATCCCTCACGTGTTTGAACTGATAGGATACACTTTGCTCAGCATGTGCTCTCAAGTATGAGTGCTGCAGCTTTAAAAGTGGTGGAAGAAGCACTCAGATTCTTTAATTGAAGACCCCCCTCTGCTCAAAAATGTTTTTTCTTGTTGTTCCTACAGTTGGATGTTTGAGCTTCACTGTGCAGAATGATGTATGAGCAGAGTCTAATAGTAGAAGGATGTTTTCACATTCATCTGCTGAAAGTCGAAAGTTTCTCTGTTCTCACTGACAATCAGACTTTGAGGGTCGGGGCCTACGAGCGTGATTTGTATGAAGTGTGAACCTTTATTGACGTCACCCATCGGTTTGTTAAGTACCGTTTTGAAGCCTCGAGTTCTGTGTTTTTGTCTGACGCCATGACAGTTGGACGGAGCCAGCGCAGGTGACGTACTGTGAGTTGATCTGCGCTCACTGGCTGCGCACTTTTGACTCGTCTGTAGCAGGAAACAATGGCGGCTCACCTGGTCACACCCAATCTCCTATTACAGCTGAACAGAGAACACTAAAATATGTCCAGGATGCAACTTATACAAGTTTGATGTAGAAACTTGAAGCCACCAGTGCACAGACTGAGAAAGGACAAAGTGAAGTAGGAGACATCTTGTGTCCAACAGAAAAACTTCAGGAATGAACAGATTTAGCATATTAATAGAAGAATATGGCATTTTTAATGAGGTAGAAGGAGTAGATGCCTTTTTAAGGATTTTAATGTGAAAATTATACTTTTTGTTTGCATGAGAAACACATTATTGTTCCAAGCAGACTATTTGTATATGTTGTAATAAATGTCTGGAGGGGATCTTTAAGTAAAAATACCAATACCACAACTTAAATATACTGTTACAAGTTTAAGTCTTTAATTCAAAATGTTTCCAACGGCTTTGGAAAACAGTGATGGGCATTTCTCAAGATTTGAGAACAGCAGATGAATCATGAATAAAAAATAATCTTCAGTTGCTCTACTTGTGTTTAATTCTGCAAACAAAAAACATGATTGCAAAGCAAAGTATTTGGTAGATTATTTTATTTGTATACCACAGTTTAAAGCAAAGAAGACTTGTACTGACTGGTACAGTAACTTCAACATTACAGTTTGAGTTTGTGAAATAATAATAATATCCAAAAACACTGCAGAAAGAAAAGCTTTTCTTCGTCTTGCATCTTAGTGTCAATACAAGAAACAAGGAAATAATAACACATCCATTTATTTACCGTGTGACCTGAGGGGCACTCGGTCATGAACTTCTTGTACCAGAGGTGCATCTCCACNNTAAACGTGGCCGCTTTGTTTTCACTACAACTACTTAGAATCATACTTGAACGCTGTATCGCATTAGTTGTATTCAGCAGCTACGAGTGCAGTTAATGTCTCCACCATTCTTACAACTTGCTAACGAGCAATACAAAAAAAGACGAATAACACAGAGTATATACGTCAGTGCTTGAACCGAACTCTTAAAATATATACGGATTAATATAAAAGTAAAAATAAAAACATCACTAGTAAATGCAGCTGTGGGTCATTTGAAAGCAACATTTCACCCCCAAGAAATGTTAAACTCATATTAGTGGTTTCTAGAATACATTCAGCTGGAACGGTAGTGTTTCTTTCTGGCCATAAAACTTGTAAAACAGAAGTATAACTTTCAGATAATCACAGAAAAAAAGAAACCCACACACAACTGGTTCAGTCAGTCGGTGTTGTA